AATCGTCCTTTCTTTCCGAATAGTCATCCGCCTCCTGCTGCAACACCGCCCTCCAGCAGTGACATTCAAGGAACAAGGCACTTTCAACGCTATTTTCCCGTCAATCATACATAACGCAATTGAATAAAAAGTACACTTTTTTGCTTCACGTCTTATTTACCTCTATTTTGAGAAATTATTGTGTTGCACCTTAAAACTTCTTAAAACGTTAAGTGCTTGAGAGGAAGATATATGGCACAACAGACTCCTTAAACCTCAATAGAAACTATTTCTAATTTGGATGATTTTAGTTTGAAGACCGATGTTCAGTTTGTTCCATTTTTGCCTGGCCTTTTTATTTCAGGCAACAGGGCAGTGGAGACTATTCACCTTCCTGACCCCCAGGAGCAAAGAAACGTGTCATCTACCGGCAACCAACAACCAGCCGCCAATGTAAAGTCATGAATACACTAAATGAATATTTAGTCATTCCTAGATGTTAAGTCCATTTGGTTGAATAGTCCGGAGACGTTTCATTAAGGTGTAATGTTGACCTATAGGGGTGTCCTTTTTTTTTCAAATACGATTTTTCTTGTATTTGCATTAAAATAGTTTTTTTTCTACGTGCTGCATTAGTTTCAGGTGGTCCATACGTACGAAGACCGCAGCTTCATAAACACACCCCCATTGGAAGCCCAGCCCATCCGCATAGCAACTCCTACCCAATACGAAGACATTGACAACTGCCTGATATCATCTCCCATCGAGACCCCGCCCCTTTTCAGAGACGACGCTCCAAGCCTGTGGGAGGAGAGCCACGGCTTGGATGGTCTGGATGAAGAGGGCAGGGTGGAATGGGCTCCGCCCCGCCCCCTCCGGGGTAACCCAATCCTTTCTCCGGTACGGGTTTGGCAGATGTAGGTATGTGTAACAACTGCATTAAAGGGTGCACTTTATTTTTTGCAAAAAGTGCGATTTTAAGATCACCCACTAAGGCCCAATGACACATTGATTTTCAGATTATTGTAATGATTTGTGAACTACATATACTCCATGTCATGCGTGATAGTAGATACTTTTTTCTTCTTCAAATAGCGTTCACTGTTTTAGCATATTGTACATTGTTTTTATGTACATGCATATTAGCCTTTGATATATGAAGAATGAAACGAAGTGGTTTCTTCTACGTTAGTGTTGCATTTGGTTTCAGTCGAAGGACAACATATAAATGGAGAGGTGTCGAAAAGCTTGTTCATGTATAATATTGACTAAAACTATATGACAATTTGTGTATTGATCAATATAGGTGCCTGCATTTTAAGTTCACGGTCGGTATATTGTTTTACTTTGAAAATATCACATATCTCTTCGTAAATGTCATTCCATAAACATTTGATAAAATGATCCTACCATACAAAATGTAACGAATTCATAAAAAAATGGCGATCTCATTTTAGCTTAGATACTTTACTACCGTAAGTAATGTTAAAGTCGCTGAATGCCTTAACTTAAAGTATAAACAGTTATGACATAGTAATATTGTACGGCGATGATTGTTATATTGTTATAACATACAACCTCACGAGTATTGTTGGAATGTCGGTGTACTTGTAGCTGTGTAGACCTTGTAACTAGCTTTTTTTTTTGCAATTGAGGGGGGCCTATACGCTGACGACGGGTGTGGCATTTAAAGGGAATGTACAACATTGGCTTTTGCTGCCAGTTTCAGAAATAAATGGATTGGAGGATAAGTATGTTACATACAATATTGTTAAACTGACTTGTTTCATGTTTTGGGCTTGAAGATGCTGAAAAAAACTAGAAAACCTATCATGTTCTTGTAGTCTGGTTCCCTGACCCCACTTAAGATGAAACGAAGCAATTATTACACTTTGGGAAATTGTAAGGTCAGAGAATCAGTCTAGCAGGCTTGTACCCCTTCACATGTGCATGTGTGATCAATTGCAAAGAAAAGTCAGAATAACTAAATATGACAAATTAAGAACAGTTTTTGAAAAAAAATCCAGTTTTCTCCAACGCTGGTCGGCCGACCAGCGTTGGAAAAATACAGTTTTTCTTGAAAATGTCAGCCCACCAGGAGCCACGATTTTAAAGGATGTTTTAGACTGTCATTCCCTAACAATTTAGTAAGGTATTTTGTGATGATTTGACCATTTCGTTTTTCGATGTTTGCAAATGTTGTATTTTCCCTTTAATTGAAGCCATACAACCCTTCACTTTTAAAAGACTCTAACCAGACTATTCTTTAGTGGACTTATGTAGGAAAATGCATGCACCTGAGACTAGGCTGAAGCTGAATAAAATACATTGTTTTATGAAAGAATACAGTGGCGTAAGTATGTGCCGGCGTTTTGGGGAAGGGGGATGACCACAATCCAAAAATTCCCCGGCCGTGTAAATTAGAAAATCGGGGGGGGGGGGGACGCTCCTCCGGATAGAGATGTAAATCAATATGTATACTCGCGCTTTTATTCAATTTTTAAAGCTTTTGTACTTTGTTTCTTCACTTGTCAGTGCTATTGAATACATGTTTGTTGCTCGGATGTTTGAAAAATACCTCGAAATCCGTATTTGTTTTCTTCTCATCACGAAAATGTGGGGGGGGGGGTTGATTCAAGATAGCCCATCCCCCGGTCAAAAAAATGGGGGGGGGGGATTATACCCCCATCCCCCACGATTTACGCCCCTGAACGAATAAGAATGTATCGTAGTCGTTAAGAGAAGTTATAAACCAGGTGTTTTATTTTAGAGAATTGGAAGTGAGTTACTACGTCTCAAAAGGCAATAGTTTCACCCAAAGAAGGCGCTATATTGACGCCATATTCACGCCATATTCTGGGTGAAAATACCAGAAATACTAGAGAAATTTCGTTCGTGGATGCAGTTTAGTTACTTTACTAACATCGGACATTTTGCTATTGTAAAAAAATGTAAGTTATAAAATAGTAGCAGCATACAAGCGTGCATCAATAACTTTTAAAACACGTGTTTATACTCCAAAAATGGTGTCGCTACAGCGCCCTCATTCGTTCACTGGGACTAAGATGCACGTTTAATATTTTCTACAATGTGCGTTTTGTTTTTTATAGAAAGGTTGCCGCGGCTATTAAACGGTGACGATTTCCTCACACTGAATTTGCAATGTTTAGAACCTTCGAATATTATCTCTGCTTGTTTTTATTATCCGTTCTGTCTAAAAAAAAAATGCGGTGAAAGTATGCGTCACCTAGCCCAGTAAGATTTTAATCAGGATTAGTTGGGTGTTCTTTTCACAATGTTAATCGCCTTATTCGCCGTTAAAATTAAAACGAAAATGGCAAACAACATTGTGATTATCGACCAAGCATTATTTTGGTGTCAGGGAAAACACTCGGTCTAAAGAGGCTTTCAATTAATGATTTAGCTATTGATGTTGAAATATAATCCATGCTTAAAAATATGCTGTAAAAAATGTTCTACATGCATAACGTTCTTTGAACTGTATAATAGCTTCAGTGTAAGCATAAGTTAGTCATTTTGACTAGCAAGAGTTATTCCTGCCCTACGTTTATACAAAAACAATGTGCGCGGTTGGGCATATTATCTTGATGACTGGCAGAAGGTTCTCCAAAATGTATGTAGTTATTTACTTTTTGTGGTTAATTTACATTTACATTTTTTCAGCATATCGTTCAAATGTACCGGAATTTTTTCCCACCTATTATCTTCACCATACAAGTTGCAAGTTAATGTCAAAATTTGATTGATCAAGAAAAGTAACCAGCGAATACATAAACATTCCAATGTAGCGCTTTTTTCGAAAATGTTAATGATCTTGCTTTTTAGTCATTGCACCCTGATTTTGGACAAACAAATATAAGTCAATATGACAGTCCTTGGTCAAAAAGGCAAATAATTGGTCAAAAGTGCTTACCAAGCTAAAGTAGTCATTTTGACTAATATTTCTGCCCAAATGACTAACTTAAGTTAACAGTGTTGGAAAAACTTCCCTTGGAATATCTTACTAAACGTTCATGTGAAATGACGGATCAATGTTTCCATACTTAGGCGAGCCTTCAAATTAGAATCCCTCCCCGGACCGTTCGGGGTTGAGCCCGCCCAGTATGTTGAAGGGATTGGGACCTTGCATGTAACCGATCGGCCTGGATTAACTCCACCAGGCTTCTGCACCGTGGCTCTGGCTCATCACAAAGGAACCAATTTGCGACGCGCTAATCCTCCAGTAGGCAACAATGACTGTGATGAGCTTCATAGATGTTGACGCTGGTAATCCCAGTGGGCTGAATAATGCTCCAACAATGGCCAGACTTCAATTCATGTTGCCTATTGTGAAACCCTGAGTCACCAGTTTGGACCGATTGGGGCGTCACGCTTCAGTGACCGGGTGGCTTCTGGCTTCGTACCGATTGGGGTGAAAGAAATTAGCATACCGGACCCGGTACCCGAACGGTCTGTTATCTGATGGCTCGCCTTAAGAGGTAGGCATGGTAAATTGGTTTGACCTCGTTTGTAATTGTATTTTATACAGACGTTTCAAAATTCCAGTGTAAAGCATTTTGCAATTTCAGACGGCTTCCTTTAATAAAATATGTATATCCAAATTAAAATGTAAAGTGGGTTAAATATGTCTACATGTTGAACGCTCATAAACTGCTTTAGCTTGATAATATGTGTAATATCTAACTTCTTTTTGTGTTTGGGAATTGACAAGTTAAAGTTTCTGTAAGGGTCTTGTGGTGCATTTCCTGGGTTAGCCTGAGCGTGCCATATACAGAGCTGACAGGGATGGGTGTGTACCGTGAAGATCCACGACAGTCAAATTGAATAAAGCTCTCGAGTAACTCACGTGGTACAGCCTCTTTGTCCCAATTTATTATTTCCGTAATAAAGTTGATCTCAAATTCAAAAGCTTCTTGAAAATCCGGAGAGTGAGAAGATTCTCTAGCCAAATACCTGGTAAATCATTGGCCACTGTCGCACACTACCCTCTCCCCGTGTACTCATGAACCACAGCAATCTTCAACGCACTCGTCGTTACGCAATGTCAAGGGAGCACCGAAGAGGGCAAAGAGTTCTAGCGCTTCCAAGTTGCGACCGGTGGCCACCAGGCGTAGAATCCCGACACCTTTGCTCATCCTGAAGAAGTACTGCCACCAGCGAAACAGACGGATTGGGAATTTCATCTATGGTGTCGTCCCGTGACGTCTCTTCACCCAACATTATTTCGGCGTAGACAGCCTTATTCATCCCGACCGCCCAGTTTTCTCAGCGAGTTCTCTGTTGCTGCAGTGGCTTCCCCTACGTATTTCCCCAGCGCATTCACCGTGTCAACCGAACAATCCCTGATGTTGAGCATACGCAGAACGTGAAGCGTTCTGTTCTGATGTTGAGCATGCGAAGAACGTGAAGCGATTTGTTTTATTTCAGGACTTGAAACTTGAGGAATTTTTTTGGAATCTTAACAACTTAACATATGGAAATTTGTGTCTCATTTGGGGCGCCTCCATCGGTAAACTATAGACATGCCGATATAAAATTTGGCACTGCTGCTTTGTTTTTAGTTTCATTTCACGGTACAGATGTTCACTCGGTTTTGCAAATGTTATTATCTTAAGACAGCTTGGATTCAAAAAGGGAAATGTCTCTATTTATTTTAGTACGTACACCTTTGATGTAAAGCTAACAACTGCTTAAGATTTAAGATTGTTTTTATGTGTTTTTATGTGACCATATTTTACTATTTACTATTTTTAGTGTTTTCTGTAATTGTAGTTTTAAATGAATTGTTCTGTATAATTGCTGGGCACCTCTGGAAAACAGTGTACCTCTGAGAGGTTTCCCCAGGGTAAATGAGAAATAAATAAATACAAATAAATAAAATTATTGATGAAAGCAAAATTGAATCGAAATTGCACAAAGCAGTAAAAGAAAGTTATCCAAAATGTACCTTATTCATTTCTGTATTCAATCAAACCCCTTAAAAAGCGACCTCCTATAGTGGCCGCCATAAGTTTCGTCCATACCTAGTATCGATTGCAGTCTGGATAATAGTCGAGCGGATATTTAACAAAATATCGATGAATTGTGCACTTTTGCATAAAAGCGTGAAACTTTGCACAGATGTTCATATTCATGCGAGAAAATGTTTTAAATGTTGAGCCATGTGAGGGGGCTGGGACTGGGACCCGCAGTGAAAACGGTTGTTCCCACTTGTCACAAAAGCAGGAAACTTCACAAAGACATAATTATATAGCCTATAAGTGCTTTCCAGATTCGGAGCCACCACAAAAGTACCTTTTTGGGGCGTGGCAGCCATTAAAAAAAAAGAGGGTAAAAATTATGCCCACCTTGGGAAAAATTGTGCTCATATTTCATGAACGAATAAAACGTCCCACAGACATTTATACTCATGAGGGGAAAAAATCCAGATGTGGCGCCATCTCGAACACACCCTTTTAGGGGCGTGGTAACCATATTAGAAAAAAGGGGGGTTTCGTTATGCCCACCATGGAACCACTGTTCCTACATTCGTAGAGAAATGGAACTTTTCCAAAACCATTGACATTCATGAGAAAAAAAAATCCAGATGTGGAGCCATCGCGAACACACCCTTTTAGGGGCGTGGCAGCCATATTGAAAAAAAGGGGGCGGGGTTCTCATTATGCCCACCATGGGAAAAATGTACTCACATCTCATAAACGAATGAAGCTAATTCCCACAGACGTTAATGTTCGGAAGAAAAAATTCAGACGTGGAGACATTGCAAACACACCCTTTTAGGGGCGTGGCAGCCATAGTAAAATGGGGGGGGGGGTAGTCGTGATGCCCCTATGAAAAAAAAAGAGGTGCACATTTGTAATCGTAACGTTTTAAGTCACCACAGACGAAATGTAACGACAAGAACATTAAAAGGAATGACACAAAACGAATTTGCTTTTTCAATTCAACGCCGATTGCTACACGAGACGAATTTCAAAGATTTTGGACGAATCGGAATGCTAACAGTTTGACTTATACTGAACCTTAAATGAAATCTAGTGGTGACTTTCTGAAATTCAAATTAAGAAGTGAGCTTGGCGATGTTCAGGGACGAAATTAAAGTATCGATATAAGTAATTTGTGTGATGCAAGTGTTAAAATAGCCGGGAAAACCTAGATTTATAGTATAACGTTGGGTCGGACAGAACAATCGCTGTGAAGAACAGCTTTTTTTCAACTATTACATACATTCGAAAGTAAGAAGCTATTTACCGCGTGCATATGTTAGGCTAGGCACGTGCATGTGGCTTGAAATATTTTTTGAATATATTATACGTACTTTTTAATGCATTTTTCAAATCTCTGAGTTGTAACACTGATTCTCTAAAAAAAAATTCTGAATGAATGCGTTTATACTGTTTCGTTATTTGCTCCAAAAACAATTTATCTGGAAAACAAACAGTCAGTGAAAAACCCTTTACAAATTTGGTACGATGAGACGAACAGGTTTAGAAATGGTTGGATTTAAAAACCAAATCTGCAGGTTTCAGCCTGAATAGCATTATGAATGTATTGTCACCTTCAATAGGGAAATAGTTATCAGAATTAAGTTTTAACTTAGCGTATTTTCTTTAACATTTTAACTTAATTCTGCATGATTGACATATTAAAGATGGAAAGGCGGATTTTGAAACTACAGGGCCATCCCAAAACGACAACGGAGGTTCCGGATCGACAATTAACACACCGAGTGAGTTTTATGTTTTAACTGTATTTGCGCCTCGCGGTCTATAAAGACGGCTGATGTTAACGACTGAGGATATAATCGCGGGAAATGGGAGTACAATGTAAAGACTCCGATTGACAAATCAATTGAGCCCTTTAGGCGGAAAGTACCCGCCTGACCGGAGAGGTGCAATGAAGGTAGATATTGCACTAAATGTTGAAATAGTTGATGTTGTTTATTTAACTCCTGTTTATAAACAGTGTAGGCCCTCATGTGCAATTGTGCAATTTTGCTTGCTTTAACTTTACACTCGATCCCGTTTTCTGGAAGTGCATCCGGATATCTGAAGCACAGAGATATCAACTTATATAATACAAAATTGTTTTTGTTTCAGCAAGCCTCCAGGAAAAAAAAACACCAGTTTAAATTATAAATAATTATAGGATAACGTTGTTTGAACTTAGACATGAGATTTTGCCTCTGTCAATCGCAATTATTAAAACCAAAACGATACTCTAATTGACCAATATCAGGATGATATTGTGTGTCAGGGCACTATTGACACTTATGTCTTCTCACAGATTTGTGGTGGCCTTTAAAGCAACTTGTCCGACACAAATTACGACAAAGTAAACTTGCAGACTTTTCCATTACAAGTTGAATTTATAAATGACCCCCAAAAATGGTGACAGTAAACAGGATGTCCTAGTCTTTTGTCTTTTCGATTGTTCAATTTCCCTTTGTAGTCAGTGAAAAGCTACAGAGTGATTTGACAACTATCAGCAATTTTTAATTTACCAATGTGCATTCGAATTATTGGCTTTGTGTACATTAAGACAATGATTAAATATGTTTTTATTCAGACCCCTCGATGTAGAGTCAGTCGATTTTTACCTTCATTGCCGTCGGTATCGCGGCTGCACTTCTGCTGGTGCTTGTTCCGGTTATTGTCTCTTCACAACGCCGAAAGAGTAAATTTGTTTGCAAGTCTTGTTTACTGTAAACTCTGCCTTTGATACTGCTGTCTAACTACCGAGCTATTGCTTTGCTGCTGCCAGACAGCTGCACCGCCGAATGCGTATTTTTTTTCCTAGGAGGGTTAGGGGCAATGTCATGAATAATTCAGTTTTTCCTTTGAATCATTGCAAGACTAGGGTTCTCGTTCTATTTTCCCCTTAATTTAAAATTATCTCAGTGATAAATTTGGAGAAGAAAAATAGCTGATGAAAATGAGCAGCGACGACGTGCATTCGAACCAGGGATCTTTGTATCCATAGCTCATCTCGCTATCCACTAGGCTACTGTGTGGTAGCTCGTCGACAACCGTTCTTTAAAATGCTTTAATGTATTGTAACTAGTTGAGTAACTAACAACAATGCTGGTGATGGCATTGTCCGTTCCCATGGTTGAACATGAATTATTCATGACATTGCCCCTAACCCTCCTAGGAATACAAATTACGCGCGCCGAATACTGGGGACGCCATATTAATGTAAGAGTATTCAACAACTAACACGTGCTTTTACATCATAGTGTGCGTACGGGTGAGGTCAAATCCTAAATTAGTGCCAATATCAGGATCAGTTTCCTGTTAGTTCAGCCCGTGAAGCAATCTTGAATATTTTTTTTTTGGAGATTTGAAAGCTTAGAAATATGGATAATCAAAACATAACACCATTGTTGATTGTCCAGAATGTACTATAATAATATTAGCGTTTCGAATGTAAAATTCGTTTAAATGTGTACACCAGGAAACAAATGCATACTGTATAATCATTATGTCAGTTCTGATGGCCGCTTATCATAGCGAATATGAAGGTACTTTTATTTTTATATGAGTTTGCATTGTTTGTGGGTTAAAGTGCAAAATCGGGAAAAAACGAAAGTGTTCACAATGCACTTTTGCAATGAATCAAGGAAACAATGAAGGTATTAATAACAGAAACCATTATAGACGTTTGTTTATGGTTTGGTGTTGGTTATTTTTATCTACAGATAACATTGCCTCCGATGGAAACCAGTGAGTAAAATGTAGTTTAAATATTTACAGTTCGCTTTGAATATGATTTATTGGAATTAGTAATGCAGGTCAGTTTCTTTTTGGCTTGGCACGATAGGTCTTCGTTTCACTATTAGTCGCTGATTTATATTTAATTTGTTTCAACCGTAATTATATTCTAATGACAATTTATTTGCGAGCATTATCACAACATGCTTTAAAACTTTGCAAGCTGGAATAAAGTCACAAACGAGGTCTTCCACGTAAAAACAAGTACTGCAAGTACGGTACTGCAGTACTTTTCCTAAACTCAATCTTGTGAGAGATCACCCCAAAAATGTGTGACAATATTACAAACACCTTACATAGATGGCTCTTTGTTTATTTAAATGAGAACAAAACTGTTCAGTTAAGTTGCTTTTGTGCAGGTACGGAAGTGTATTTAGGACATGACCAAAAAAAACCCAATTCGGCCCACTTTTTCGTTGGGTGGTTTACTATTTCAGCCGGGCGGATTGCTATTCCGCCCGGGCAAAATACTTTTCCGCCATGGTGGATTACTATTCCGCCTGAACGGATTACATTTTTAGTACTTTTTTAAGCTCAAAATAGCTGAAATTACCCCATTTAAGGAATTAATAGAGATTTCCAAGTATTTTAAGAACATTTGTGGGTGCAGTCAGTGTTCTCCAACTTTGAAAATCAAAGGTTGGTGCTGGGGTGCGGGGACTCCTGCGAGCGAGAACATTTTGGATTCTAGATGCTCTGTGGTGCAAACGGAGGCGATTCCAGGCCAGTTACCCTGATTTTTTTAGCAGAAGTTTTAAAGATTTTAAGGAGAATTCCATTTCATTGGTTTACTATTGCTCTTATAAAGTTTATTATTTTCTCAAAGTTAACAACCACGGTATGGGGGCGCTATTTATTACTGGACATAATTGATGCATGGTGCACTATTAACTGCTGGACATGATTGGATGCTAGGGGGTGCTATTAATTAAGGCCACTTCATTCAGCTTTTAATTGCCACTTCGTTCACTTTAGTACAATACTGGCTTACCAAATAGAACTCAAAATAAAAACACAATCAGTAATGAATACATGTATATACTATTTGTACATCCTCATTCCTCAATTTTATTATCTCCATGCAATGATAGTGAAGACCCGTATAGGAAGGATCCAGGTGGCTGAAATGTATTATCAGCAAGTCTACTTCTTCCAATACTGCTGCTAGGACTGAAACATACAACTTAGTATTACATTTTAAACATTTAGTTCAAGTTGTCTGTTCTTCAAGCCTTTCCAAATCCTTGCAACTTCTTCCAGCTGAGTATCCGACAGTTTGCCGAGTCCTTCTGTTGCCACCATCATGAGGGCATTCAGCACCTTATTGGACAGTCGGTTTCTCAACTTGGTTATTATCCTTTTCATCGTACTGAAGCCTCTTTCACAGTCTGTACACAAATTAAAAAGACTCTTAAATTTTTAACCCTGCTGTTATACAGTTTATTAACTGTGACACCAATGAAGTATTGGGAACATACCAGCAGTTGACACAGGGATAACTAGGGCTGCTGCCGTAACTTTAGTCAAGACTGGATAAAGCTGGGCATAGCCAGGCTTCAGGAGTTCTTTCAATCCCTGCCCAACCCCTGCAATCTGGTGTTTTAGATTCGTGGCCATCAGTGCCTGGTAGGACTGCCATTCTGTTTCACCATCACTTAGTCCGTAGTGAGTTGCTATTTCCTGTCGTCACAGTCCTCCAAATCAGGCACACGTGCTGGGTCAAAAATCATTAGAGCATTGAGTAGGCCTACATCGGGAAAGCGTTCCTTTATGTTGTCTATCAGCGACTTGATGAACTTGTCATGTACCTGAATTTATGAAATAGGTTTGTTCTTTAATACAAAATGTTCATAATCATATCAAATGTAAAACATAAAATCATATTTTCGAACGTAAAATTAAAGTGCCATGATTATGTAAATACATTCTCTTTGAACTTCTCAAGATCGCCTTCTTTGATGTTAGGTGTGAAATCTGGTATTTTTTGTTTCACTGCTTCCAAGACGGTGCCTTGCTGCATTTTATGGAAGTTTGGGCCTGGCCGTACCAATCTCGCCTCCAGGATCTCTACTGTCATCGCCACTTGTTTCTGAATTATTTCGAAGTCCAGTGAGTTTTCCTGGATGATAGGTGAAAGAAATAGTAAGCTAAAAACTCCTGACTCATGCCACCAATAAAAATATTAGATTAAAGCAATATAAGCAAAATATTATTTTATACCTGAAAACTTTTAGAAAGGATGCTCAGCTGTGGCAAGATATCCAGCATCATGTAGAAACAGGCCACAAAGCGCCAGTCCTCCACAAGCAGGGACAACCCTATGGCCTTAGGGTCTCCTCTCTCCGACCCTTCACGTCGCAGGCTGACCATAACTGCCGGCAAGGTCTTTGAAAGCGTATCACATGCCTGATCATGTGATAGCCAGCGTGTAGTCCTAGGCCTCTTGGGACGTGATGAGGGCACATGCAGCGAATCCTGGAGCAATGTGAATGCAATGTGAAAGAAACAGATCCTAAAACCTGTGCATCAGAAAATGCTTTAATTTTTACCATCTAATCAACACTGCTTACCTGAATCTCCTTTAGCGCAGCTGTCCTGACAGAAGATTTTTCATAGAAGTGGTACAGTATCTCCAACGTGTTATTGAACTTCTTGACATAGTCAACCTTTCCAGATGCTCCACCAACAGCCAGAGCAAGTCGATGGGCCACACAGTGATTAGAGATGATAGTCGACGACTCCTTGAAGGAAGTAACAAATAAATTAGTATGACAATGCACAAACTAATAGATGGCACGATAAGTAAAACGTGTCAGAGTGCATAGTTGATCATCATGATTGATTTATTATTATTTTCTCACCCTCTTCAGTTGTGCCGCAACACCATTTATTCTTCCCACCATTGTCGAAGCGCCATCACTGCCAAATCCCGCCATTTTGGACCTGAAATCAAGGCCTGTTCTCCTCAGAACCTCAACGAGCTTATCTTTGATGACGTCGCTGGTGCAATTGGCAATCTGCCAAACAAGAAAAAACAGTTAGAATAGATCACTTCTAATAATATGAAAAATCAGGCACATCTGACAATTGCGCAAAATGATAAGTACACTGTATAGTACTTACTTCATTTATTTCCAGGAATGTGACTTTTGTTTCTCTCTCCACACAGTCTAGGTATGTTATGTGCACGATGAGTTGTTCCAGCACTGTAACGTCTGTTGTTTCATCACAGAGAAGGGCGAAATATGGAGAGGCTTTTATCTCAGCTAGCTTTTCATTCTTCAACATGTTTCCTGTAAAGTGATCGAAAAGCCACGATAGCGGCGATAGTCCCAAAAGTCATAAACTTACTTTATGTATCTCTGAATTTTGGCACATGAATCTCAAGGGACTGTCTTCCGACACAATGAAAAAAAAAGTGATTTCTGTTGCAAGAAAAAGAAATATATCGTCGTGTGCCCGGCAGAAGGGCATATGTGCATATGCCCTTATGCAATAGCGCGTAATGACCAAAATGTTCCCAGCAAAAGGGCATTGCAGAAAACTGCCTCCATTTTAATGAGATTTAAACATTTTCGTCAGAAATTAACGTGTATAGTTGTTCCAAAACTTATGACTCATACGTGTGACAAATTTCACATTCGTACGATTTATATTACGTGGGGGAGAGCATTGGATACAAAATGCGCGCGGGGGAACAATGGGACCTTTCAATGCAATTTTCTTGAAAATGATTTTTGCGTCAGAACGCTCATATGCCCTTCTGCCGGGCACCCGACGATATTTAATACACTAATACCCATCTAAATACTCACCTATGCTCAATACAATTTCTTGCATAGTCCTCTCCGATGTGTAGTTTGTCCGTTTATTTATGTGGAGGCTTTCCAAGTAGCGGCACCCAACATCTTGAAGCAGCTGCAACAAGGACTCGAAGTTGGTAGTATGAGCAATTTCATTCTTCAACAGCCAATACAATGCCTGAAGTGAAGCGAGAAAAGCTTGTTGCTCAAGGGAAATGGCTTTGGAAATCGCTCCGGTGATTCCACCACTTGCACATGATGCGGTCAAATCTGCCTCAACTTGGATTGAAACCTGGTCTGTAGCAGAGTGGAGGGGGCTTTTTATTGCCTCTTCTCTGTAGGTCTTGCATCCAGTTTTTGTCCAGACGGCGGCTTTACTTGATTGTCGATGTTTTTCGCAAAGCAAGCAAAACATTCCTATCGGAAAAGGCGATAATTTTTTTTAAAGGAATTGTGTAGGCGCAGCTTATATGGGATAATTCACATGACTAACGACTTTTGTGAGATTTATGCATTTATAAGTACTGGTTGTATAAAATCACCGGAGCCGCCATTCGACGATAAGTGTTCTCCTATCCTCGGTACATCACTCAGAAAGAGAAAATCCTCCACATGTGATTTCAAATATTTTCTTTTCATACTTTCTTAAAACTCTGGCATCGAATGTTTTGTTGAATCAAAATAAGTTTTAAAGCCTTTATTAATATTTGAAAATTCGCCAACAAATGAAAGTACATTAATTTGTGCCTAGTTCCGGATCGTACGCATGGGATCGGAGGATCGGAGTGTATAAGACCAGGACCGAATTACACATGCGTGTGGTAGTAATATGGACTTAATAGTTGAGACTGCTGAAGCAGACGGAATAATGTTTGCGATCCAGAACTAGGAACAAGCTGTTGAACCCTTGTGAGCAAATCTTGGAGACTCTCAAGTGAATATGAAAAACATGCTTTAAATTGATAAGGCCGAAAAAAATTGTTCTGCTTCCGATTACATGCCTTTCAAAAATGGCGAATAGCTGCAAATAATTTGATGACGTCCCGATTTACCAAGGTGTGATTGGACACTCCATATATTAGCCCCGCCTACACTTATCTGTATTCGCATACGAGGTCGTGCGCTAGAAATCCAGCGCAAAATAAAGAAAAACATAAGCTTTTGCCGACGATTGAACCAAGGCTCTCGATCGTAAGGATAATAAAAATGCTAATATATAATGATAATAAAATCTGAAGTACCCTATTTCAATTTAAGTTTAAAAAATTGTAATCCGCCCAGGCAAAATAGTGGGCCGATTTTTTTTGTTTCGTTGGGGGAGGGGGGGGGGGGGTAATGTCCTAAATACGCTTCCGTACCAATGGTATGACTCTAAAAGCGTTATTTTAATAACAATGTATGGCTAACATGCTATTACAGGCCTGTAGTTCACTACACACGGACTGGAACCGACAGGCCCACGGCGTCTGTGAGTCCTGTCTTGAACACAGTCGTAGGACCATCAGGTAAACTAAGCTAAGTGCCTGAATGCCGAAGCTGTTCGTGCTACAGGGTGGGATCTTCGAATTCAAAACTAAAACGGAAATAAGCAAGACTAAAGGGACAAACCCCTGAAATGACACCTAACACGCATCAAACAATGATAACGATTGTGTTGCAATCATTAAAGAATGACGATTCGATCTTTGATCGAAATTATGTTTCGATGTGACAGGATACAAGTTTTGCTTGTATATAAAATCAAATTATTTATTTTTAATACAAAATTAAATCAAGCTGCTTCAATTTGATTGGTACAATGAGGTTTCAAGAGTGAAGAATATTTGGTCATACGGCCTTTAAAAAAAGGTAATTTTAAGAGATGCCACTCACAGAACTTTGTACTTTATTGTATTACAAGTTGCGGAAAATATCTACGAGGAAAATACGTTCCTTCCGAGTAGCCATTCGCCTCCTGCTATGACAGCGCCCTCTAGCAGTGGCATTCAAGCAACATGAAACTTCCGACGTTACAATTCCGGTAATCAGTTAATAGAGTTACTCAATAAAGTCAATGATTAAGTCCACGCTTCGGTTAGTTTATACGCCGAAGCGTTGCGTTAAAACATGTTCATGTCCGATCAACCTCTGCTTAGTGATATGCGACCAACACTTCATGTGTGCATCCGGAAACATCATTAACATTGGTATGTGTTTTGCAGGATAATTTTGGACATGCCTCACTTTTTTAACCTATTTTAACGAGTTTGGATGTTCTGGTTTCAAAACTGATGTTCAAACTGATGGGTTTTTTTGCCTTGCTTTTTTTCAGGCAATAGGGTAGTGGAGACTGTTGTCCTCCCTGGCCCCCCGGTGGAGCAAAGCGATATGCCGTCTACCAGCAACCAACAACCAGCCGCCACCATTTCTAAGGAAGTATGTAAATTAAAACTAATACATTCTTTCAAGTTATCAAAACAAATATGCATTATGGTTACATTTCCGTCAAAATTAAATATGTGCATACATGTTTTTGTCAAATAATCCAATTTTTCAAATGCGCAGTCGTGATATTTGCATTAAACGCAGTCATTTCTACCTATTTGTCTTGGCAGGTCCTCATTTACGCAGACGTCCATCACACCAACACACGCTCGGAGCCGCACACCCAGTACGCAGACATCAACAACTTCCTGTTATCAACTCTTGTCGAGACCCCGCCACTTCTCAGAGACGACGCCCCAAGCTTGGGTGCTGAGGTGTTGATTCTATATAATTTGCAAGAAGAGGGCAAAGAAGAGAGGGCTCCGCCCCGCCCCCTCCGGGGTAACCCGATCCCTCATCTGGTACGGGATTGGCAGATCTAGACTTAACGAGTGTGCGTGAATAACCGAAATGATCAGTTCGAGGATCACTGGGCGAGCAGCCCAATAAGACCCGTATACAGTCAGACGAATATTTTACAACAATCTTCACTTTCGCTTGTATATTTTGTAAGAAAAGAAGAGCTTTCTAATGTCAGATGGAAACAACTTTATTCTTAACAAATACACTTTTTTTTGTGGTAAAAATGAAAAAAAAGGTCACTTTCGCTTGAAAATTTTGAAGAAAAGAAAGAGCTTTCTAATGTCTAAGGAAAAACGCTTTATTCTTATGAGAAATTCACATCTTCATCGTGGTAAAAATGAAGAAGAAAGTCTCAGAAACTATAAACACTTGTGAGGAAAGGTATGCATGACCTTTGACAACACAAAATACTTTTTCCAGCCGTAGATTTCCACGCTTGAAATTAAAAAAGAAGAAAAAAAGACGGGCCTGTTCAGTTGAAATGTACAAGTGGATGACAGGCGTGGTGAACACGCTTTAGCTAAACAAACCTGTTTGCTTTCGAGGATCAGAATCTCAAGAGACCGCTTGCTTTTTTGTCGTTGAATTATCCTTACGTCATGTACTTGGAAATCAGCGTTCGAACACAAATCGGCTGTTCGAATAAATGAAACCGTAATCGACAAGAAAGAAATTAATCGAAAGAAACAAAATTAACGTAAACTGGCGGTCCTATAATGAATTAACATTTACTCCATATTGCGTGTAATCTGTAAATAAATGTTTCTTATATCTCAAACGGTTGAAATTTCAGTTGGCCTAGTTGAAAATATCCGCTTTTGTTTCTAAACGAAAATGTAAACGTAGTGGTTGTTCACATTTATAGGGTTAAATTCGGTTTCAGTCGAACAACACAATAGGGAGTAAAGTCGAGAGGCTTTTTATATATTATAGTATAAATTAAAATTGAAAACTGTTTCAATGTTCATCATTATGATCATCGATCATCATCATCAACTCGGCAACAGCAATGTTAAAGATCAATAAAGTAGCCAACATTTTAATTTTAATTCAAATTATGTGTATTTTGATGTAATCACACTAGTTCAGGATTTTTTTTTTCATAAACAGTCCATGAAATCAGTGTAATATAATACGAGATTTATTTAAGGAAGTCATAAAAGAATATAACGCTGTCGACTGCATTGTAGATATAGACTTTACTAATGCGTGTACAAAAATTCTGTTATAATTCGCTCTATAGCTGAATGTAAAGCATAAACAATAATGACTTTGTCTTGTTAATGAGAGATGTCTGTTAATAATGTAACACATTCTGTTTTATCATCACAAGAGGGCGCCGTTTAAATAAAGTAACGTGGTGCTGGCCTCGCTTGGCTTCGTATGGTTGTACATCATGTAGCTTTTGTTGTGAACCACCTCGACTCAAGCATGTTGTCTTTTCTGTTGGGTCTTAAAAATGTTGCTGTTTATTTTTGTGAGTTGCCTCGTCTTAAATTATGCTCTTTATTTACATGTGCTAAGGAGTTGCAAGAGTGTTTTTGTAGCCATATTTAAGGTATATTTTTTGAGAATTATAATTTTATTTCTGACGGATATTCCTTGGGCTGTGATAGGGCCTGAAGTGTCAGCGTGACATGGCGGCCATGTTTGCCCGGT